ACTTCTTGGTAAACACAAATTGTCTTCAAACCCTATCCTCATTATAAATATGGCTGTTGTTGATATTGTGATATCTTTGCTATCACTGTTAGTTGTCACTGCCATCCCCTTCTCTGATGGTATCATCTCGTTCATCGTTATCGTCGAGGAAAAATGGTGCATCGCTAATCGTTTAGGCAGAAGGAGAACAATAAAAGGAGAATGACGTGGAGTGACATATCAAGTGATGGACTACGGTGGCGATGAGAACAACACATGATGGAAATGATGGCGACAATCATGTGATGTTGCGCTAATGCAAGTCACCATATGATAGAGGCTACCGTGGCCATGTGGGTTGTGTGAGGAGGGCTCCGAAGATGGGGATAATATATAAATTTATTTTTCATATTTATATCAGGGATTGATTGGTCTTTTCATTTTTAATTTGATCATTCTTATTTATCCAAATTAAAATAAATTTCTAGTTTTATCGTTTGGAAAGATGGCACTATCATCTTTCAATTATGTTTGGTGTACACACTAATGTACACACTTATATACACCATATAAATAGCTAAAAAAATTGCCCCTCGCACTTACTCCCCTGTTTCCCTCACGTTTCTCTCTCTTCCCACATTTTCATTCCCCTCCTTCAATACGTACGCCCCTCTTCACTCACATCTTCCCTCTTTTTCCTGTTTCTTTTCTTCTCATTCTCTTTCCACTAATGTAGAAAACACTTTCTATATGGGTTAAAAAGTACTTTTTATGTCGGTTCCCGTAACAACATAGTAGCCGGCGATATAGAAAGCCGGGCTCTTTTCGTGTCGGGTAGTCGTACCCCTTATAGAAAGTCTTTAATGTCGGTTACAACTCAACCGTTATCAAAACTATTTGACTTTTTATGTGCAATGAAACTAACCCATATGAAATGTTTATTCTTTCCGTAATAAACAACACCACATTTTATCTGAAAATCATAAGTATTCATTTTTTATCACTGCTTTTCATTAGAATAGGAGATCAACAAACAATATTCAATGTAGCATCAAACACCTCGTACAAATCATAATTGGAAGAAATATAAATTCCACACAAATATCGTATTATTCCAAAATATTCAAAAAATAATATGCTCGACTTTACAACATTCATCAAAAAACAAATCCACTAAATAAAAGTTGATGTCAAATGCTCGCAGCTTCACATAAAATGATGCCAACTGCTCCAGTATCCTTTTGATTCCTTGCGCGCTCAATGAATCTTGAACTGTATATGCCTACGAGTTAAATAATAATAGAAGTAAATGAATATGTAAAAAGTGCATACATTACTTCTCATATGTATATTATTTTTCACATATTTTTCTTTAACAGAGAATTTCACCTTTCTCCATTCAGTCCTTAAGGATATTTATTTGTGAGGCAAGAACCAACTGCTTCCATCACTGCTCGTAATGCAAAACTCTCTGAGGCAATGAGCTCTAAGCTTTTGAACTGGTGTACTTTCTCTTTGTTGATAATAGACTAAATGTCAGGAACAACTCAGCTTAAATCATAGTCCAAGAACCTGCTACCTATAAAAAACCGCAGCTTCACACACACTCTAACGAAATAGAATAAATGAAACTCATCAATTTTAAAATAAATAAATACTTTGTTGTAATCAAAGGAATTAATTAGAGGAGTAATAGTTATCAACTATAGGAAATTGGGAACCATGTGTGCAAAATACGAATGAAACTAAGGCTCCAATTTATTAATTTTGCATGGGGTTGTTTGCAATAAGGGACATCAAGAAGGGTGAAGAGTTAACATCAAACTATGAGGAGCCTCATGAAAACAAGGGGACATTTGTCTCTATTGAGTGCCTGGAGGATACTGAAAAAAATGAAACCTCACTAGACATCCCTTCTGCAGCAGAAACATCTCTGATTTTGAAGGACCAAGCACTGAAGCTCCTAGTTCAGAAAGCAGTGAGGTACTGGGAAGGAAGAGACGCAAGGATGAAACGGTTGGTCAGGGCTGTTTCCTACCTCCCACCTTGAGGACAAGGTGGCTGTCAAAGGGGGGAGTGATGATAGGGACCTAGACAATACTAGTAATAAGAATAATATTAAGTATTGATATTTTACAATAAGTGGTTTCTAGGCCCAGTAACTTCGTAACTGAGGCTGGCCCATTTAGGAGATGAGTATAATAAGAGAGGTAGGCAGAAATTGGATCGGACTGGGACTTGGGAGAGACGAGACACTCTCGAATTTGCCTCATCTGTATCGTTTCTGTTCAGTTTCAACAATTTCCGTTTTAGTATTCAACAATTCATCATTCAAAGTGTAACAGCGCAAACTGACCTAAACTGGACCAACTAAATCGAAACTGATTGGCAAAACAGCCTATAACATCATTCCAATTAGTAACCAAAGTCTGATTAACTTTATGTTTGAATGCAGAGGTTATCGGTGCTTAAGTTCGTTAACAGTCAGCTTGGAAAGGAAGAATCCACCAATTCAGGTTCATGACTGATTGATGGTCTACATGTGGATAACCCAGTAATAAAGATATCAGTTTGTATATTGCTTGGGAATAAACTGTTGGGTGTTTCATTGATATTGTGACTACTAATAATGTCGCATTCGATCTCTTTTTACCTGAATGTTTGTATTAAATCCAGGCGCACATTTCATTTTTTCTACTGCAGATTGAATGAAGTTCAAACTGAACGTTTCTCGATGACGCTCTTCTGCCGAGCTTATTTCTATGTGAATTGGTCTAATTTCTGTTTGTAGCTTATGACTTTTATGATAAATGGATTTCACTAAACATTTCTCTTCAAACCAGCCATTTAGTCAAAAAAAATCTACTTCATTTGTTCGTAGTGATTTTTGAATTTTGTAAAATATCCCAAGTATGGATATGTTTCTTTTAATAATACTAATAAATGGCTATTAAATTACAATCTGGTTGTATATCTTTTCACTTTATTTCACTTCGCTACTAAATTTAGACCAGACATAGGTGTTACTAGGGATCGACTGGGACGGGTTGGTCCGACCAGGACCCGGCCCGATTCCGACACTGTTTAGTCCCAGCTCGGCCTGGCCCGGTCCTCATTGTTTAGGCCCGGAGTCCAGGCCGGTTCCGGGCCTGATTGCACTATTTTTTTTAACTTATTGCTCAGGCCTGTCCCGTCCCGGTCTCGATCCGGTACTGTTTAGGCTCGGCCTGGCATAGCCCGGTCCCGATACAAAGTCGGGCCGTTACCGGTCCTCAAATTTGTAGTACCGGTCCTGCCCAGTTCCGGCCTGATCTAGGTGTTACCGTGTTACCGTGTTATCAACATTGTCAATTCAAAGTGGCTTCGTACACGATGAAGGCTTACACATTTACATGTCTCGTTTTGTGTGTAATTTTTTTTTTTTTTTTAAGGTGAAAAAATGTTTGGCACAATAAAAAAACATTTGTTTGTGACAAACAATTCACTAATTCATTTTGGAGGATTTGGAACCAACTAGGGTTGAACTGGTTTTGAGTATGTGTTGAATGTTGGTTTTGGTTAGATTTGTGGGAAGCACTTGCATTGTGTGTACCACTTGAAAATGAAATTGAAAAGGCTAAGAATGTAATATTTCAGGCTTACTTTAGTGGGGTACTTGGGTTGTTCAGATGAACTAATGTGGTTCTTTTGATCTTTGTCGGGGGGGGGGGGGGGGGGGGGGGGGGGGGGGGCATCCCAGCCTTGTTGCTCGTCCTCCACCAGAGGCTCCTCTTTGGTGTCGTCGTCCTCCAACTCTTTATTAATTTTGTGAAGGATTTGTTAATTTAGAAATCGTCAGTCTGACATCACATCTCTATAGTCAAAGTTCGTTGCCCAATCGTCATTTGTATTACGTGCTCGAGATGAAGATGTTGATCCCACATGACGTTTACCGGGAGACCGCGTAGAAGATTGAGAATTCAAAAACTCATTCTTACGATTGCGCAATATACCTATGTCAATTGATTTTCTATTGGAGTTCTGACGGCTTCATGCCTAGTCACAAGGGGTGGGGGGGGGGGGGGGGGGGGATATCGAAATTTCAATATACGGCACTTATCATATAAAAAAATAACAAATTTATCGAAATGTTTGATATATCGATAATTACGGTACGGTATGGTATCATGTCAATTTACTTTGGTACGATATCGGTATATATTTTGAAAATAAACAGTGTAATGGTATACCATCATACCAAAAATCCAAGTTGATAATTCCTTTAAAATTATAAATATGACTAAAAAGACGACATTAACTTAACTCAAGTATAAATGACTTATATCCATGTTTTTTGAACTATTTATACTTTTCATTGGAGATCGTTGTTATTTTATTCATATCTATGTTACTTAAATTATTTTAGGAGATTGTGTTGTTATGTTCATATATCATGTGTTGAGATATTGAAACATGTTTATAATAATTCTTTGTTCAAAATTCATAAAACATCAATAAGTTATCATTAGTATTTTTTAAAATTATTTTAGTGATATGATTTTATCATATCACTACTCAAACCGATTTTCTATATTTCATTCACCTATAATATTTTTCTATATTAAAGTTCAAGTAAATCATGATAATTTACTTATATTGTGCATTTATCGTACCAAAATTTTAGTATATCAAAACAAAACATACTAAAATTTCGATAAAGTATTTTTAGATATCGAAAATTTATGGAACCATAATGATATGTGATACCTCCTCCGTCCCACTAACAATGGGACAAAAGGGAGTGACACGCAAACCAATAAAAATTGGTTTATGTGATTGATATTGAATTGATAAAGTAAGAATAAAGTAAGAATGATTTAGAGCTACACAAACTTTGCCCAATTTGGTATGAGACAATCTTATTGGAACGGACTGATAAGGTAAAACGAGACAATCATAGCGGACGGTAGTATAATATCAGTGAACCATTCCTGCTAGTCACACCCGGAATTTCTCAAATACAATTGGGTCCCAACCCACCGTTCGAAATTCAAGGTTCCGTTCGGGCCTATGTAGATAAGGTTTAAAAATCCCAATAATTTGAGAATCAAATTATACTGCTGATATATATGTGTGTAATGGAAAAGAATAATGAGATCAAGTTGAGAGAAGCATGTCTATGTTAGCCCCAAATCTCCAAATCCCATACAGAAATTTCCTCCACAAAAAACAGCAATTGTGGGGATGCTTGAGTTCGAACAAGTCACATGGTATTGGGGATAAGGAAAGAGGTAAATGGAAGAAAGTAAAAAACATGGAATTGAGAATTGGTGATTCTTGGTCTGATATGTCTTCCATGGAGATGCAACCCATCGAGGACTGTGAGCAGCTTGACCAGATTTTAGCTCAGGCTAAACATCTCTCTCAGCCCATCATCATTGATTGGTGAGCCAACTACTACTCCATTCGTTTCGCTAAGATTGTCGCATCTTTCTTTTTTGATTCGTTCCACTAAGATCGACTCATATCAAATTTGATAAAACTTGTATTGTTTCAAATATTTTTTAATATATATTTTCTTTATCAATTCAATCACATAAATTCATTTTTTTAATAACCGTGTCACCTCTTCATGTCATGGGACGAATGTGATATTTTTTATGCTTTGCGTTTCTTTCATGATTTAATGATTGAATGATTTCGCCTATTACACTGTCCAAAAATTTACATAAAAACCCTGATACCAGAGCCTTAATGGATTTTGGAGGACTTCATCTATATATTCTTTTTTAGGACTTGATCTATATATTCACTTTTTTTTTACTTGATCTATATATTCACATATGAAAGACATTTTATAAAGATGAAAGATTGATACAATATGTGGTCTTATAATATTCAAATTATTTTTCATTTGTTTGTAAGTTGTTCTATTTATTAGCATAGATATGATGGGGACGTTCTTAGTGAGTAGTCATTTTAAAATGAGAACACATTTATAAGGAAAAATTGTTATAAATAGGAGTAAAAAACGTTCTCGGATCGCAAAATAGGATTGTGATCTATTTCTTTCCGATAATAGGAGTCGTAACTGACATGATTGAAAAATATTGCCTAGTAAATACTACTCTATGTGATTTAATGTCTAGTACTGTCACTACTTTGACATTAATGACAGAATTAGTTCCAGAATATTCTGTCAATGCCTAATTTATTCCGACACTATTAATTAGGTTAGTTTTGATCATGGACTTTCAATTCTATACCAAGTTTAGTCCTCTATTGTATTATTATAGTAAAAATGGTAAAAATAGTACCTATACACCCTTGAATGATAAAAACATGACTACTTTGATTTTTAATGAAATGTGATTAAACTTTATTTACTAAATATTCTTTTCCATTAATTATAATTCCCACCCAATCACCTACCCCTGCCCCACTGATGGCTCCAACCGTATTTGCCGGTGATGGTCACCGGAAATCGTCGTTGCCGAAAAATGTCACTAGGATGTTTATTTTACGAAAAAACGCCGACGGAAAATATCACGAGTGAAAATTATTTTACTAGATTTTTTTATTTTTTTTATTTTTCATTGGAAAAGTTATCCGACTATTATGGTGACATGTTTGTTAGAAAATAATTACTTAGACAAGTCCACCTTAATTGGGAATTTTTTTTTATTTATCTATTAATAAAATACACTCTCATTAAAGCATCACTTAACATTTCCATAAAAAAACAAATGACATTTATTAGAATTAGAATTAAAAAAAAAACTTGATTAATCAAAGTTAATTACATTTTGAAAAAATAAAAACTAGTCGTGGTTTTATCTTTCAAAGATGTAGAGTTAATATTTTTGTCATTTTTCTTAAAATAATAATAATAATAATATATAGAGGTATTAACTCTAATATATACGGTCAAAAAGAAAATTCTGAAATTTCAAAACATGTGTACTCCTATTTCAGAAACTTTCCCATTTGTAAATAAGAACTTTTATTTTTCACCTTTCAAATATCAAATCTATGTCTAGAATCAATTAGGTGAACTTTTTAAATTATAGTATAATAATTACTAAAAAGACCCCGATTGAATTTTTAAACTTTATTAAAAAAGAGATCATATACGTCTTAATCAATGATTGAAGAAAATGAAAGTTTGAGATTATAAATTCTCATTATAAAAAATTCTCTCCAAAAATTAAGTTCATGATATTACTTTCACGATCTTCAATGCGAATGTTTAGCCGTTAATATTTCAAAAAATATATATGTACTATTATCTAGTATTAAATAAAGTATCCAAAATAACTTGTAGAGAAATAAAGTATGATTTTTTCATAACTAACAATCAAATTTAACAAAATTTGATTTAAAAAGTCAAAACATGGAAAAAAGATGGTAGGAAAGAAGTACGTAGTACTCCCTCTATCTCATTGGAAGGTTCACACTATCCTTTTTTGGACGTCCCGTTAGAAGGTTCTCATTTCCATTTTAGGAAACAATTATCAATTTTAAAAGACAAATTAATCATTAAATATTAAAAAATAATACATTTATAACATCACAGTTATCAATACTAACTACATTATAATATATACCTATTAAAATTATTTCTCAAAATATACTCGAAGTAGTTTATTTAATTATTGCCTAAATAACCGTGTCGTTTTACTATGGGAATCTTCCAACGGGACGGAGGTAGTATATACTACTATTAGGTAGTATTAGGCACATATCGTGCACAACCCCCTCCATCTAACGGTGGAAACAGGCTGGGCTTATTTTTATTTGTTTAGGTTTGTGTCTGGCCTATGCCTGTTTTACAACCATAGTCTAGCCTGTTAAAAATTTTAACTTCGCCCAAAGCTTGTTTACAATAATAATCTCTACTAGAAAAATTCACAATAATAATCCCAACTACTTAACTATTTCACAAAAATAAACCGGAAGCTAACAATGTTAACTTTTGCATGAACATTTTTTTGAATTTTAAATATAATGAAGTAAAAATAGTTATAAGCATTAACAATATTTTTTTATAAAAATATATGTTTAAAATTTATATATGTTTTTAGCGTCAATTTCTTGAAAAAACTACACGAAAAAATTGACATCGTTAACTCCGATTTACTTTTGTGAAACAATTAATTAGTTGGGATTATTGTTGTGAAATATGTAAAATTATGGATTATATGTGTCAATTTCGCCATAAATTAATAAGTTCAAAAAATAAAGAATAGAACGTGAAATCCTTTTAACACTATAAAACTTTTCTCCCAAGTTACTCACTAAATAGCTTAATAATATGTTAGTTATGTAGCTTATAAATTTTTATGTACTTGGAATCTTGAAAACAAATGAATTTCAATGACTTTAATAACCTAACAACACATTGTATATATGTAAGATAGTATTTTAATTTACGATACACATTTCATAAAAACGCTTTTATGCCTAGTTTTTTTATAGTTAAATATGCTTATATAAATAAAAACAAAAATAATATGAATAAATATAAATATAACTAAATTTGTATTTTTAAACTAAGAAGGTTTCATAGTTGGGCTAAGTGTGTCCTATTTAAGAGTAGACTATAGACTATGTCTTAAACAGGTCAAGCTGCATGCCCTAGACCGGCCGCCTGGCCTATTCCTGCCCCTAACTCTATCTAAACTGGCTGTAAAAGACGGCTGGGCCCTGGGGGGTCTTTTAACTGAAAAAAACAGAACAGGTTTGAGAAGGTAGAATCAAACACTGGTGCTGTTCTTTATATTCCTTGTGGTGTTGATTGACCTTTACTTGTATATTATAGGATGGCTGCTTGGTGTCGAAAATGCATATACTTGAAGCCAAAACTGGAAAAAATGGCTGCGGAATATGATTCAAAGTGAAGTTACCAGTGTATATACACTACTACTTTTTTCCCTTATTTGTTTAGCTTTGTACTCTCACTCGCTTTCGCTCTCGGTCTTTTTTGTGGTGCATAGAATCAAGTTCTACTGCGTGGATGTAAACCGGGTGCCCAAGGCTTTAGTCAGCCGTGGAAACATCTCTGTGAGTTTAATACACAAGCTTCCTTTTTTTATACTCCTCCTGACAGGAATTTCTAAAACATATCACTAAGTAAAATACTCCCTCCGTCCCTAAATAAAAGCATCTGTTTCCTTTTCGGGTCGTCCCTAAATAAAAGTTCCCTTTCCTTTTTTGACAAACAAAACAGTGCCAAACAGTGTCCAAACAGTGCCAAACAGTGCCAAACAGTACCAACCAAATTCACTTTCTTAAAATGTGTGGAAAATGAATGGATACTTTTATATAGGGACGGAGGGAGTATCAAATAAGTTTTGGACATTGTTTCTTATTATTACACATTAGTAACAGATAACGGTTCACAGCCCATGCTAATTGTTTGTTTTGACCCACGTCTCCAGAAAATTTACCAGTACTCATAACTGATGACAAATAACATCAAAAACGAAATTGAAAAGTGTTAGCTTTATTTATCACTATGATTGTGCATTTTGTCCCACATTACTCCTTGTCTCAATTTTAAGGGGCAGAGGTAATATTATTTGATTGAATCTATTTACATTTTATGACATACATATTCAAAGGTAGTACGTCATGTTTTCTATTCATTAATTCTTACAGGAGTACAGGACGAATAGACTAGCTAGTTTTAATGACTAATTTCTGCACTGACAACTTACTTCTCTTTTCCCAGAAAATGCCAACTATTCAGGTGACTCTTCAACCTTGAAATCCATAGGTCAACTCATTTATTTTCAAATACACACACAAACATATTTATATATACTCCCTCCGGTTCTGAAAGATCTTTACACTTTCCATTTTTAGCAGTACCATAAAGATCTTTACGCTTCCTTATTTGCCTTATTTGGCAAATAAATCTACACAAAACAGTGCCAAACAGTGTTTATTTTCTTAAAAACTGTGAAGTCAAAGTGTCAAGATCTTTTGGAACCGGAGGGAGTATAAAGTAAGTTAAATTTTGATGCAGCTATGGAAAGATGGAGAAATGAGAGGAGAGGTGATTGGAGGTCACAGAGCTTGGCTTGTAATTGAAGAAATCAGGGAAATGATCCATAAGTTCGTGATATGAGTGACTCTTCCTGATCGGATAGTTATATAGATAGATGTTGTTTGCCACTCTTTTTTATTTTCTAGTAAAGCTACATTCAAATGACTATTTTATGTTTTAGAGTAAACCTACAAATTAAAATCCTCACAGAATTAGGATGCGAGTTATCAATCAAATCTTGGTGGATTTCCGGCCACTGATGTGATGTTCAGACTCATATAGCATGTGATTTATGAGGCCTCTTGCAGCACTGCAGCAAGAGCAACAACAAAAACATGATGAATGGACATATGGCGTGTAGAATCGATATAATAAAATGAGCATGCCCAACCAAGCATTTTTCACGAGTACCAAACATTACCTTAGATCATTGCACTGCTTAAATCGGTTCATAATGAAAAGATGTTAGTGGTGTTACTCTTTGAACACACTTGGACCCTCTCTTTTTCAGATATGTTTTCTTCAACTTATTCGAAATACATGCATGCATACATACATACACACACATCCACAATAATTGGAAATGCAATTGATCCATATCATCCAGCCACAAGTTCAGCCAATTCCCAAAAACTAATCCTTACGAAGGGGCACTGATACTCTATATTTCTATACAATTAAATTATGGTTTTCATTCCATGGCAAACACTCAGCTTAAAAATAACATGGCCCATAGTTTGTTTCATTCATTCTCCGTATTCCTTGACACACTCACATCACAAATAAGAAAAGGACAAGGGACGTGAACGTACTCATCTTTGAACTTTTGAATTTTATCAGGATCTTTCTCATGCATGTTTCTTTTGAACTGCTGCCTTACCATATTGACAAGCAGTTCTGTGTTGTATTGCTGCATAGTAATCGTATCAAATAAGATCATCCACTTAAATTACTGAGTTTTTTCAAAGAAAACATTAAAATCTAGAAATATCTATCTTCATAATGAACACTCCAAAAATTACTCTCAGCTAAGCCACAAACATGATTTGGAAAAAACTCAAGTGCCATATTCTCAAAAGTCAAGTGTGCCATGTTTATGCAGGATTGAAATAAACTATTTGATAAACAGCAGCAACAGCAACATAGCATACCTTACTGCCGATATACTTGGCCCGACGGAGGCATTCACGATATAGCTGCACATGACAAAAATAAACACATATTAGGTTAGAGGGGGAAAAATAGAGGCATAACAGCACAAAATGTGGATAAAGCATAAAGATGAATGAAAAAACGAACTCGAATGGTATTATTGGCGAGTTCAGGAGGCAACGCTGTTTGGAGAGATGGCATACTTATAATCCTTAATTCTTTGATTTATCTACTAAAAAGAAGAAATCATTAGAAGGATTGGAAAATCAATACATTCAAGGGGCTACTACTAATGAATCACATTCACTAATGAGAGAACAAGATCTGATTGGCAACAACTAACAATAAATCAAATATATTAGGGGGAACAGGAGGGTGGGTAGCAATTAAACTTGTATGAAAACATTGAAGTACATCTAGCAAGCAGTGCTCGATGTTCATGGCCCATGGGGCATGTTTACTAACATTTATTTGGCTGAAATGGTTGACTTTTCCCTAAGGAAACTGGAAAAGCATTTGGTGAAATCCATTTCATCCAAATAAATAGGTCAACAACCGCTTATTCTTTAAATAAGCCAATAAGCAGGATATGTCACGACTGGGTATCAAACAGAGCCTTAGGATGTTTTTATGTGGACTTATTTCAATCCCAGACCAGACCAGATTTAAACAGACCAGACCAGACTTAAATAAACCAGACTTAAACAAATCAGACTTAAACAGAGCAGACTTCTGCAGTTATGAAATACACACAGAACAAGCATTTATTACACCAGAACAGAAAATTTCAGTCCAATTAAAAACATCCTTAGTTCATTTTGGAAACGTGAGTGAGTTTCTTCTGAAAGTGTACCCCAAAACCAATGCATCATCAGTACATTTCTTAAGAGGAATAAACTTGTAGTGGAAATGTAGCAAAAAAAAAAGGATTGTCAAAGAGGCGAGTAATTGAAACCCAGGTTTGTCCCATGTTAATTCCTTGGGTTGGGGTTGTTCCGGTCCAAAACCTACCTATATCAACCTGTATTCAATAAATTTCCAATTCAAGTATCACTGCATCCCCATCTATGCTGTACTTTTGTCATAAAAATAAATAATCCTAATGCCCAAATTATCGCATTCTTCTAAACAAAAGATCCTGAAATTTTCAAAATGACTACTTGGATCAGACCTCAAGTTGCATGTGAGCGAATGACAGAAACCCCTCATCTCATTTTATTTGTATAATACACAGACAAGAAAAATAAAAGAGAATTGCCTCAATAAAAGAGAAAAGGGTCTACAAGCAGGGGCAGATCTAGCATTTCAATTCAGGTGGGGCCAATTTTTTTCATATATAAACTTCGTATAATATAATTTCAATTGCATCAAAAATAAAATATAAAATTATACTCCCTCCGTCCTGTTTTACTTAGCCAAACTTGATTTTTCAAGTCAATGACGTCTAACTTTGACCGATTATATGTTAATATAGAGAAAGTATTGATAATATGAAAATGATACGAAAATGTTCTTTGTTAAAAATACTATCATAAAAGTATAAAATTATTAAATTTTAGATAAATATATTAGTTTAAATAATTGGTCAAAGTTTACCACCTTTGACTGGAAAAGTCAAAGATGCTAAGTAAATTGGGACGGAGGAAGTATATTATACTACCTCCGTCCCGCTATGATTGTCCCATTTTACCTTATCGGTCCGTCCCACTAAGATTGTCTCATACCAAATTTAGTAAAGTTTGTGTGGCTCTAAATCATTCTTACTTTATTCTTACTTTATCAATTCAATATCAACCACATAAACCACATTTTATTAATTTGCGTGTCACTCCCTCTTGTCCCATTGTTAGCGGGACGGAGGGAGTATATGTTTACAAGGGTAAGCATTTTTATCCAAGTCAAATACAAAAAGCACATCACAAATTCATAAGTGTTGGGGTTTTCAAATGCGGATGTAGCTTGATAATGATATCTTCATTAGCTTCTTCTTCAAAAGATTTGAAGTATCTCCTTAAATAGTTAAATCTATCTTTATCAACTTTTTTAACCCTAGTACAATACAACATATCATATGATAAGTTACACCATAGTAAAACAGTCTATATTCGAAACAATGGGACTACAACTAACAAAAGCTAATGGGATTAATGCTAAACAATGAGATAGCTAGTGGGAATAATGCTAAACAATGAGATAGCTAGTGGGAATAATGCTAAACAATGAGATCAATACTCGCAAAAATAACTATCATATTAATACTAAACGTCCAATTAATAACATTAATACTGACAATGATATTAACAATAATATTAATTTACTATGCAGTAGTTTAATACTAGCTATGTCCCATTTTATGTGTCATATTTTGGTTTGGCACAATTATTAATAAAAAAGTTGAAAAAGTAAAAGTTGTGGTTAAGATTTGAATATAATAATGTGAAATGTTGTAGAGCACATATTTCTTTCCAAAAAATAAATGTTACACTTACTTTTGAACAACCCAAAAAGAAAAGTAAGACACAACACCTAAAATTGTACGGAGGGAGTACTAAACAATGAGATTAATATTCATCAACACAAATCACAATCATATTATAAGTTTTCAACATCGCTTTTCGAGCACAATGAGTTTTCAATCATAATACAATGAGTTTTAAAAAATATTTTCAGTCATATTATAATGATGTTTCAATCAGAATACTAAACAATAGAATGAATATCAAGTTTTGAACATAAAACTTCAGTAATTAAATCTGGAATGAGGCAAGTAGATCAAAAAAATCAACGCAATCTGAAATTAAAATTTTAATTTAGGATTAACTTACCGATGAATAGTGACGGAAATTGGGGGAATTAAATGACGTGTAGGTGCGGCAGTGCAGCAGACGGGCGGGCTGTGGCGGTCACTGGCGGCAGCGGACCTGCAATCAGGATGGACGTGTGGCGGACCAATGGGTTGGGGCAGCCGGCAGAGCAGGGTAGCCGGTAGGCCGTAGGCGGTTAGCAGCGTCGTCTTCTGTTGGGTGGAGGCTGGTCGCTTCCTTGCTGAGTCGCCTGTGCAATGGCGAACTGACCTGCAGTCTCAGTGGATGCTGAACTGCTAAAGAATCGAACAAGGATAGCCGAAGGTCGCGAATTGTTGGGCCTCCTTCCGCAGAGATTACGATGGAGTAAAAAAAGAAAGAATAAGAATTGCTGAACTTTTTTAGGACCTGTTTGGTTTGGGTTATCTCACATTGAGTTCCGAATGTTTTGTCTTAATTATCTTCACATCTCTATGCTTTATAATCCTTTTAATTACAATACCATCAAGTTATGTTAAGCCTCTCGATTCCAAAACTCATATATGGTAAATTTCATCCAAATTGATTTGTTATTTCCAAATTCCAAAATCAAGAGTAAACAACACTGCAAGGCGGTGTGTGCCTCAGCGGTTTGTTAAGAAGCCAATCAACCAAACGGCAGTGGGTGAACAAAAAACTTTTCTTTCAAGGCTTCAAAAATTGAATAATGACCAATAAACTATTCTTCATAATTAAAATGGGTGCATCAGGTTGAAATAAAGAGAGAAGATTAGAATATGCAGACTTTTAGAAGAGACCAATGGAAAAATTTGTTTTTGTTAAGAAATTGAATCTTGAAATACCGCGAGAAACGTTTTTAAGTAATGTTTTTCAAAGTTGAAGATTCTGATAAATCATTTGCGGCCGACTATGTCTTAAGAAAGACTTAATGGGTTATCAATTTTAAGTAGTGAGCATGAGAGATATTGAAAAAAGTTTATTATTAAGGAATTATTGATGATTTTGCTTCACAATGTTATGCGAGAAACAGTTTTAACTAATGTTTTTT